ATTTTTGCTTGAGTCAATATATATTCAACTTCATTTCGTTTCGTGACATCTGCTTTCACAATTAATGATTTACAATTTGGAAGACAAGATTCGGCAACTTTTTGTAATTCTTCTTCACGTCGAGCAACAAGTACAAGCGCAAATTTACCTTTATCAAACTTGGACAAATATTTTGCAAGACCGGCGCCGATTCCAGAAGAAGCTCCCGTTATTACGACAACTTTTGCGGATGATGAAAATGCCATATTATTTTAAAAGAATCTATAAACTGGAAGATACGTTAGCTAGTCTCTACTGTACTATAAAAAATCCTACGCTTACTACGAACTTCAAATTAAAACGTACACCACCGATTTTGAGTAAAGTTCGAGAGAAAGAAGATAGACACCTGACTTTCGTCTTTAGATAGTGGAAACCGAGAAATGTGATTGTCCGAAGCATCTTTTCAAAATTCCTCGCGAAAGCTGCTATTTTGATGAAAGTTTTGAAAAACCAGATCGATATTCTGAAAGCTACCATAGAAATATTTTCGGTTTTTCTCATGGATAGATGGCCCAAAGTCTTTTTAAAAATGAGAATGATCCAGACTTTTCATGTCTCACGGTTTGTGCTGGCATTAGACTTTCCAGGAGTGCTGAGGCTTCTCTTCTCTGATTCCTGATAACCTTAAAAACTGACAGATCGTAAATCTGAGTTGTAACCGGTCTAAAAATAAGAGGTCAGTCCAAAAACCGATTTAGACTGATGAAAAACCGGCAAAAGAACGGCCGGTTTTGAAAAAATTTTTAGTCCGGCGAAAAAACGTCAGAAAGCCGGCCGGTTTTCAAAGATTTTCTAGACGGACAAGAGGACAGAAAAATTCACTTTTTTTTAGTGAAGAAGAGAAAAATTCTAAGAATTTGAAAACCAGCAAAAAATCGGTCAATCACCGGTCGGTTTGAAAATGTTTGTAGACCGGTCGGTCTAAACTTTTACACCGGAACCGACCCGGTTACAACTCTGTCATAAGTTATCGTCCATGCTGAGTTTCACGATGATAGTGTGTACTTGCTTTAGTTTTTTTCTTGTTCCTTTTAAAAATTTTCTCGCATTTTCCTAAATCTCAGAGCAACGTTTGTACAATGCATTGAATATATGAGAGAAAAACAATAAAATGATGACAAGTTCAGTTTCTCAATTAAATCTTGAATAAAGTACATTCCACGAAGAACAACGTTTGACGTTACTAGAAAATAATGAAATAACATTTCGTAGCTTTCAACGAAATATTTGATGTGCTCTCTCAATAAATTGGATCCCTGCTGCTGATTTTTTTCCTGATTTTTCTAGTCGCAGCAATGCTCGTGACAATGTTTGTTTTTCTTAAAAGGGCCAGAAACTTAGTGAAAATTTATATTATGTGAGATAACTGTTTGGCTGCTTTCACAAAAACTTCATAACTCAGCCACTTGAAATATTACGCTCTATTTTATCTGTGCTATACTATAGAATCTCACAAAACATCTTAGTTTTCGAATTGATTTTCTAAAAATCTTTTACATCAGAGAGATTTTTTACTAATCTTAAGTTCAGAATCAGATTACCCAGATAAAGAACTGGATATTATGAGACGTTTGAATCAGTTTTGACTGAGTTATGAATTCTCGGTGAAAATAACCAAAAATAGGTTATTTCAACGTTTTTACTAGGTCTGTAACGTTTTTTGGAGAAACAAACATTGGCAAAAGACTTTTAGTTTAAAATTGATAGTAGGAATACTGATAATAATAAGTTCATCCATTTTAAATACATTAAAGAAATACAATACATATATTTCTTAAAAAAACAAGACGACCAATTAGGTCAAGAAAAATAAAATCTATTATTGACAAAAGACTATATCGAAAAAAAAATAATGTTCAATACAAAAATGAAAATACATAGATGAAACATTTATCCGAAGAATGAGAAAGACATCGCTAGCTTGAAAATGAAAAGAGTTTTTAATTATTTTTGTTACCTACAAAGATTTTGTGACGGTGGAACGGACGGTATATGTCCTAATTCAAATTTATCACTTTCGAATGCATTCAAATCTTCTGGTCGTAATTGATTTCTTGGTGTATAATACGATATGGGGATTGTTTCTTGTTGCTGGGTCGGTTTATATTTACATATGTAAGCCTCGATCAATGGCTTCTACAAAAAAGATAATGAACTCATATAACAATTGTCAACAATAAATAATAATTAAACATACAATTTCATTCAGAAACATTTCATCTAATCGAGATAATTGCAATAGACGTTTTTCGGCACCTTCCCAATGTTTTCTATAATAATCTTTCTAAAAGGAAAAAATAACAAAAAAGTTTGTTTAACTTCTAGTTATACTATTCTTTTTATCATAGTCTTTTATAAAAAAAGATATATAGTACCACCGAGATAACTCACAAGAAATTCTCCTTGAATATATGGCTCATACGACAATTTTCATTAATTAGTCAAGAAAATAGTATGCAACTGACTGCAGAGAGAAATACATTCGAAATACATGTGACTTACATAGATATGTGTTTGATCCTGAGGACAACTTAAATATCCCCATCTAACTTCTTCAAATGATTGATCAATCATTCCTAGAATGAAATAGTTAAGAGTTTAGATTAAGTGTTTCTTTGAAAGAATAGAAGATTTCTTACCAGGTATAGATGGTTCACCTGGATGCAAAGATGTTGTCGAGAAACGCCAAAATGCATGCGATTGGTAAGCTTCTCTTCGAAGTTTACATCTATAAATAGCAGTACATAATAATTACGATAGGGATAACCGTAAAGGTCCACTAACGTACAATATTTCTAGAACTTTTTCTTTTTCAGTAAAATTTTTGTTAATCCACGAAAAGACATGTTCTGGAAGTTGACCTAAAAAAAGAAATAATATCGATTAGTTGTTTGAATTCATTTTCATTTATTTTTAAGATGTTCACTTATGAAAAACAGTTACAAGCAAAGAGTTAGCTTTAATACAGATACTGTTACCAATAATAAAAAAAGACAAGTAGAGAAAAAAATAAAAGATAGCAAGAAAAAGAGTTATACAAAGGAAAAAAAATGAAATACATTTTCTATGTTCGAGATATGAGAGATACTAATAAAATGTTACATGATCTTTAAATAATCTTCTAAAGGCAAGAGAATTCTTTGTATATGCAAGAACTGTTGGGCAAGAATTGCAGTCTTTTGATGTGGTGGAGACAGCAGAAGATGAGCCTGATTTTGATTTGTATCTTTTTATATAAATTCACCTATCATGCTCTAAGCGCTGACACAAGCGAAAAACCGCAGAGCTAAGGGTATTTAAGTTTGAGAATACCTTCAGCTTATAAAAAATTTGATAAAACGAGAGATGAAAATAGTTTTTTGTATTGATCAGCAGGCGATCTTAGCTGCCTTCATTTAGAGGATTATAAATGAGGTTGGTAACATAAAGAAGAGCATAGTCTTGATTTTGGACTGAAACTGAATTGTTTGAGAAAATATTTGTATCCTGAAGAAATTCTGTTCGTTTTAAATGCAAAACTTTTTCAAAAATTTTAGTGGTGTCTGAAAGAAGAGAAATTGGACGATAGTTGTGGACTGAAAATTTGCTCTTTGTTTTGTGTACGGATTAATGAAAGTCCGATTCCAGATGTTCGGAAAAAAGTCCAGTTGTCCAGGGATACACAAAAGACATGGAACAGTTGTGGAGAAATGATGTCACCGCCCATTTACAGAGAGCCAACAGAATTCGGTCATATTTGTCCGAATATAAACACCATTTATTAAATAGAGAGCACTAAACTTCTAAATTTTACAAATATTATTATTATACATTTACTTAAGTCGTCAAAGTTACCTTCTCTATTAGTTTGTATTGAGTCTATATCCATGCCATCTATATTGGATAATGAATATTGACTTTGATTAGTAGATTGATGCGGTTGTTGTGAAGGATAAATATGATTTTGAATAGGCGGTTGTTGATGGTAATTGGTCGAAGGATAACCCTTTGTCTAACAATAGGAATAAAATATTTGCTTTAAACAGATATATATTTTTATATATAAATACAGTCAAAATCGAAAAAGAAGAAATACGCATAGGTACCATAATAGATAATAGTAGACTGTTAGAGAAAAAATGTTTTTTCAATACAAAAACGAATAATATACGTGTCCAATACAAAACAAAATAAATAAATTTGTTAACTGTGATCTGAAATGTTGGATATTCGTTTGCGATGATAGCAGAATTATAACATCTGAGCCGTTTCAAAGGTCCTGTTGCGTATAATCAGATGACCATTTACTAACTTACAAGTGCGGGCGAAACATAATTGTATCGCGGATCAAACCGTGGACGTCGAATTTGTTGATCTAAATATAAATACAAAACTATATTGACTTGTTTTAAGGTTCTATTTAATCTGCCTGTAAATAAATTCAAAACATAAAATCTTCTGAAAATGTCTAAAATTATGTAAAATATTTACATATTCTTACCATATAGTTGAGGTTGAATAGGATTTGAATGACTGTTCCGACAGTGGTCACCGAATTTGCATTGTCCTTTTAGAAAATATCGGCATGGTTGATCCATTCGGAGAGGCTTTCTTATCTAAAAGAGGATATTCCCAGGTTGATACAAAATATTAGAACTACTTGATCACCACAGCACGATTCATTTTGTATAATGATAATGCACGAGATCCTTCTTTTGACCAGTGCAGTGTTTCTAATAGCAAAGAGTACTCACGCTTCGGAATATAAAAATACGCTGTTTTTTGCAAAAGCAGAGCGCTTTCCTATCGCTGTTTACGCTTTGTTTTCTAATAGAACTGTTTTATAATTATATTTAAGAGAAAATAAGAAAAACTTTTTTAACTGTCTTTAAATGAGTGGTCAGATCGGAAAAGAGACTTTTTTCGTGTTATCAGTGATGTTTTTCTTTAGTTGTAATGGTCTGTGTCTGCAAAATTGCTTTCTAGGAAAAAAGCCTGTATAAAAAAGTTTCTATTTTCTCCTCTAATTTCTGATGCCTAATTGACGCTTTCTTTTTCAGATTTAAAACATGTGTAATGCACGTTTTGTGAAAAAAACAGCGAGTATGCATACGCTTTGGTTGGAAAATTTCTGCTGGAAACAAGCAAGGATAAGCGAGTATAATGTAAAGGCAAGAGAGGCAATGTAATATAAGAAAAGAAATCTGAGTTGAATAATTTATGATTGATGTTAGATCAATCATAGAAGCCGCGAAAGATGACGCTTTTTGTTGATGTTAAAAAAAGCCAAAATGAACTTGGCGCTGACAGCATCACCCTCCGTTCTTAGAAAGTGTCAGCTCATTTTCATTTTAGCTTATTTTGACCTTAAGAAATACATTGAGCGAAAAGAGACTTCGCTCTTGATAGCGACAAACTTCTTCAAACAGAAATAAAGTTCCGTTACTTTTGCATAGTTGGGTGATTCTTTTAAAAGTGTACCAGAGTTTACATCGACTTTATCCAAAAAATTCGAAAGTAATATGACCAGAGTGGCCAGATGCTTAGGCCAGAAAAGCGGAATAAAAAGGTGAAAAAGCGGAATTTTTTTTCCAAAATGCGGAAAAAAACCGGAAAAGCATTTTTCACCAAACGCAAAGGGGTATCAAAAAAAATTTTCTAGCGCTTTATGACGATTCCACTTAAGAAACACAAAAGAAGTACAAAACATTATTTAAATCCCAATTTGAATCGCTATTGGTTTTTTGTGGATGCGCGTTTTTGATCAACTGCCATAAATTTTAAGAGTTATGTATAGCAGGATAAAATTTAATTCGAAACTTCTCCGCCTACGACAGCATTCAAAGATTAAGATTTTCTGACCGAGTTGTCTTCCTTGAACATTTAGTATTTCACTATTCTTCATACTCGCTTTCACGAGCACTTGAGACAAATAAAATGTGAGGCAACTGACGTGAAAGAAGGTCCGCACATAATTTTAGAAACTTGAAAAGTAAACATACTGTTTTGTAGCGCTTGAAAAGTTAATTCGAATGATGTATCGTATGATTATTTTCAACGAACTATTGATTTGCAAATAAAACTGTAAATCGCTGAACTGTCCGTAATCGGCGTGCAACGAAATACAACTTTGATAGTAAAAACTGCAAAATACAAATGAATTTCTTTGTTTTTTGCTGCCTGTTTCAAAAAAATTTATTTTATATTTTTATATTTTCCAAGACTGATGCACAACTTTTTTCGAACCATCATGCCGAGTGGAATGCTATAAAAATGTTGGCCTCATCTCCTATCTAGAGAGACTGGAAGCTTTTGGGCCAACGTGTACTACTAATTCATGTAATGAGAAAAGCACAAGGAAATCTTTTTCTTTTTTTCTCTCTTTCTTGAATAATCATAGGACTTCGATGGCATTATCAAGCACACACAATACATTTGGCTTAGTACAGTTTCTGCTGTAATGAACTGTAATGAACATTTACTAAATTTGCTAGTAATTCATGCAGATATGTGCGGGTTACGTAAGAGTGACCTCTGTTGGTCGGATTTTTCTGGAGTTGTTTCTTTTTCCTGGTGTTTTAAGGACTGAAGGGTTGGCTTTTGCTCGTTGGAGGGCTTTTTCTCCTTCTTTGTTTTCCCTTTTTTCTTGTGGTTTATTTTTATTCAGTTTTATTAACGAGCATATGTACTGAATTGGAATTCATGCAAGTATGTTCAGTGTAAGTAAGCATTCATGTTTGTTTTCGGGTGAGAAAGGCTTTGTTTCGGTTTTCTTTTTTCAATTGATCATCCTATTTTTCTTTTGAGTTTTTTTCTAATAAGATTATCTTTAAGTTTTGTTGGTTGGTTTTCTTTCATGTTATTTACCGTGGTTTGGGTCGTTTAGATTTAGTTATTGTACCTTAGTAAAGTTTGAACCATTGGGTGCGAAAGAATAATGAACACCTATAAGCGGGCACCGATATAGACTGATGTTGTCTTTGCGTGATCTGTTTGCATGATTTGCCACGCATGTTTTAGGCGTGTGCAAAGGTTTGCAGTATTTATGGCATGCGAGTGGTTCTTACACTTCCCACCGTGGTGGGACGTGCGGCTGTCGCAAAGAGGAGCGTGCATGTACGGCGGACTGTGCGTGTGGAGGAAAATGTAAGAACCCGGTGAAATTGTTGGACGTTAACGTTCTTTCGACGGTGAATGGTGATGGGCCACACGCTGAAGGCGTTCAAAGAGCGAGGGACTTCAATGGTACAGCGTAAAGGATAGGCTCTGCTACATTAACTGAACTACAATCAAATCGGTGCAATGATGATCAACATGTTACACCTGTTATCTAATTTTCTTTTATTGTTTATTTGTGTTTTTCAAAATAATAAAAGATCATACAAGACACTCTTTGAGCTCAAAGAACTGTGAAGAGGAAGCAAATTGTTTGGGAAGACACAGATGATTTTGGCCATAGACAGACCGGTTAATAAATACTCTGTCGCCCTAAGTTACACCATCAGTTCGTTTCGCCGGGGAATAATAGAAAAACA